AGAGATGAGGGATGAGTGGGTGGATAGATGAGGTGATGGAAGGATGGAGAGATGAGGGATGGATGAGTGGGTGGGTGGATGGAGGGGATGGAAGGATGGAGAGATGAGGGATGGATGAGTAGGTGCATGGATGGTGGGAGATGGAGGGATGGAGAGATGAGAGACGGATAAGTGGAGGGATGGATGGAGGGGATGGAGAGGATGAGTGGGTGGATGGATGGAGGGGAAGGAGGGATGCAGAGATGAGAGATGGATGAGTAGATGGAGGTGATAGAGGGATGGGGAGATGAGGAATTGATGTGTGGGTGGATGGATGGAGGGGGGATGGAGGGATGAGAGATGGGTGTGTGGGTGCATGGATGGTGGGGGATGGAGGGATGGAGAGATGAGGGATGGATGTATGGGTGGATGGATGGCGGGGGATGGAGGGATGCAGAGATGAGGGATGGATGTATGGGTGGATGGATGGCAGGGGATGGAGGGATGCAGAGATGAGGGACGGATGTGTGGGTGGATGGATGGAGGGATGAGAGATGGATGAGTGGGTGGATGGATGGCAGGGATGGAGGGATGCAGAGATGAGATATGGATGAGTGGCTCAATTGATGGAGGGGGGATGGATGGAGAGAGATGAGAGATGGATGTGTGGGTGAATGGATGGAGGGGATGGAGGGATGAGTGAATGGATGGATGATGATTGGATGGATGAATTCTGCTCCAGTGGCATCTGCAGCTTTGTATGGATTCCCCAGTTCTGCCATATTAAGGCATGTTGTGTCAGGCTTTGTGTGGGAGCCCCAGGGAATGAGGGGTTAACGGACATTGGTGGCCCTGAGTGCCAGTCTGAGGCTTTGGACTTAAAGGAAAAGCCCAGCATCAGGATCCCATTACAGGATTTTGAAGGAGTCACAGGACGATGTGTAGCAGGACGACGTCTCTGAGGCAGCGTGAGAGACACAGGAGGGGACAAGGTGACTTGAGGGCTGGAGGACAGGTGGGAGGGGCCCAAAAGCATTTATGCAGACGTCTGTATCTACGTATATAATTTTTTTCACTGTAAAATATGAATCTCTTAAGAACCTTAGAGCTCTTAATATTTGAGAGAGATATAAGAGTTTTCTTTCCACAGTGTGACTATGTTTTCACCAAAGACCAACATCAAAAGTGAGGGGAAAGGATCTTCCAGACGCAGGAACCGCTGTGCACGGTGTGTGGTGTCGCGCACATTCCAAGTACATATGAAATAGCCTAGACCTTTCCAATGCTTTAACGGGTTCTTTTCCAAAAAGGTATAAGACCTTATATGTGTACATGTGTTTACGTATATATGTACACAGATATGTATATGAATATTATTTATATATCTTTTTAGCCAAATTTAATTCTTTCCTGTTAATTTTTCAGACATGGTCTGTTCTTACCACCCTAACAATTTTGAAATATTAAATTTTTGTTAAAATTTGGTTTAGAAAATGCCATAGCCAGTGCTCCTCCCTGTCATGCACGTGGATTGGGTGAAAACACTGGGGCCGTTGTAGTGCCAGGTGCTCATTCTGAGTGGCCGTGGCCCGCGCCACTGGGGAGAACGCCTGTCCACGGGACTGGCTCCACACTGGCTGCGGCTCTGACTGTGGGCATGTCCTATAGACACCTGGGCCCCTTGTGACTGGACAGGGAAGAGCTTGGGGGACGTCTAGGGTCCCTCCCAGTCCTGGATTTAAGATTACATTGAGGAGAGATACGGGCGCGTTCACTGCGTTTTTCTGCAGCCTTGCTGCTGTTCCTGCCACGCCCTGCTTGATTACACATATGCTTGCAGCAAAATGCATCCAGGCCTTATGCAGATGAAGTGTGGCATCAGAGTTCCATTCAGCTCCAATTCTGTTGGTAATTTTTTCTGTGAGGGCCCCGCTTTCCAGACAGAGCGCACTGCCTCTTCTGCATTTGGCTCTCGTGGGCCATCTGCTGAGAGCTGCTGGGCAGCAGTGGTGGCGAGGCCTCCAAATGCCACGCAGGGCCCAGGTGTGTTTATGGAAGGCGTTGACATGTACCCAGAAGGCATCTGTAGATGTCGCCACCCACAGCGGCATGAGACTGGAAAGCGAAATTCGTTTTCTGTTAGTGAGAACCCTCACCCCCAAATCGTCACAGTACTCACATCAGTTTATGTGAAACGCAAGAAGTCCTTGCTGTTTTATATGTAAAATACATGCCTTTTTTGGCAATATGGAATGTAAGTATTTAAAAGAGTTATTTCATGATTTTGAATGTAAGAGTCTAAATATAGACATATATAGATAAATTTTCAAGTTTACTGGAATACAATTATACATGTCGATGGGGGGAAGCCCACTTCATTTCCTGCTATGTTTTACTTCTGATCTCACTTTGAATGTCTCCCAATCGCTGTTACCTCTGGCCTTCCCTCAGGGAGCCGTACCCCGTGGAGTGCGCTGTGCCCACCAAGCCCGGCCCCCAGGTTGCCGCCGCCCCCACCTGCACACGCGTGTGCTGCCTCCAGTACTCAGGTGCGCCACGTCCCGCGGGAGCTGGGTAGCATTTCATTTGTAAGTCTTTTATTCTGTCCACTGTAAACGTTTTTCTATTGTATCATAATTGTAAATATATTTTTTAAAACGTTGGTTACTTGAAGTTGCATGGCATGGTTTGTGTCTGGTTAAAAACTGAGACTCCGTTTCACTCGACTATAGTGAGGGTGGTCACTGGGCATCTTGCCCCTGCGTTGGCACAGAAACTGGCACTCACTCACTAGCAGCGAATTTGCTGTTCTGTGTCCAGCCCCTCCGGACTTTGCTCTCTGTGTGTCTGATCCCTCCTACAGAAGTGTTAAGGTGGGCCTGGTGGGAGGGCTGTGGCAGGCCGAGATGCTAACAGAACAGTCGCTGCTTCCCTCTGGAGATGCGGTCTCTGCTCATGGGTAGGCTGGAGACGCCAGGCTGGCGATGACACTGCGCAGGCTGTGCACAGGATTCCTTCCTTACCAGACCCTCAGCTGGGCCCTTTTCCTGCAGGGCTGAGTGTGTCTCGGCTTCCGTGACAGTCGCCCTGTATCTCATGCATGTCCTGATAATGCCTTCATCAGGCTTCTCTTGGATCTCAGCAATTTTTTCTAAATAATGTTTGACAGAAGAGAGGAGCAGCTTGTGAGAGTGCCCTTGGCCTCTGCTAGGTAGTTCCAGCACTTGAACGCTTCTCAGAAGTGAGGTTTCCTTGCAGGTGAGCTGTGCCCTTGCCTGGGGCTGGACAGAAAGTCCTGTCTGGGCTGGTATCTTGTCCCACCCTCATGCCATCTGTCCAGAGGGTTGAGTCGCATAAGGGTTACCATTTACTACTCTGCTGAATTCCCTTTATTTTATTATATAATTGTAGCCAAAGAAGTTTTAAAATCATTTTCGGAAATTAGATAGGTAGTATTATCAGTAAATGTCCTTTTGATCTTTGATAGACTAGAACATTCCTTCAGTGTTATCGGCCTTCAAGTTTGAATATTGTGGGTGACATCTATAATTCCTTCCTTCCTTCCTTCCTTCCTTCCTTCTTTCCTTTCTTCCTTCCTTTCTTTCTTCCTTTCTTTCCTTCCTTTCCTTCCTTCTTTCCTTTCTTTCTTCCTTTCCTTCCTTCC